CTTCCTCAAGCGTCCCTTGACAATTCCATCGGACTCAAAGAAATAAGTGAAGATGCGATTCTCCACCTATTGCCCATCGAGTCTATCAACTCGGCTACCTCTATCACACACACACACACACACATACACACACAACACATATTGGAAGTCACTAAAATTCAGTTAAATTTACGAATAAAAACTGGATTTAGAGGGAACTTTTCAATTAAAACGGTTACTTTTGAGTAAACTTATGCAGTATTCGTTTATAAGTAGATTTATAAGTAGACTATCAGTAGATCATACACATAAGATGTATTCAGCTTGCTTCGTTTTGGGTATTTTTCTGGGAGACTGATAGTTGGATTTTCCCACAAGGTCTACGCAGAGCATTGTGGAATAACTCAACTTAAACGAAATAGGCTGAGCAGACCTCATATAAAATTGTGCACAAAGATGGGATTCGAAGATGGTCCCACTCAAAGACCTCTTGACCGGCTGTCGATTGACTTTGCGGAAACATTCTTGCTAATCCGGTGGCCTAGGCCATCTCTTTTCGTGAACATGTGAACATGTAGGCTTTTTTCTGTCAAATGATGAACATCCTCAGAGCACGGTTCCATTCCAACAACCATATTCAATGTAACGAGTCAAAAAACTCACCGGTTTATCCATAAATGCTCCTCACAAACACTTATTCTATGCTTTTTTGTGATTGATTTAGTTCAATTTATATGCTCATTTAGAAGCATGTGTGTGTGTCTGTCTGTTTGTTTGTGATTATGTACATGCATGTCACATGTAGACGAATGAACACACACACACATGCTTTCGGAGTTAAAGATGACTTGAACTAGCCAGATCTCATAAAAATGTATACATTCAGCCGGTTTATATTTTCTTGACTCGTTAGCTTGAATATGGTTGTATGAATGCTGACCAATTTTGATGATATCCATTATTTGACGGACGAAAGCTTTGCGCACATATTCATCGATGTTCAAGGATGTTCCACTAAGGCCGACTGACGGCTGGATAAGAAGGCTCCATTGTCATTGTATGATTTGATCCACATTGTAATCGCTTCATTTCACACACACACACACACACACATATACTCACACACACAAACTTTCCTTTGAAATGGAAGCGAGCTAAAGAGTCGACCTTCTGACAGACAGTGGAAGCCGCGGGTTCGACTCCTCCCGACTGTACCGGAAATGCCGGAACGTGGATGGCTGAGTGTGGAGTGGAGTGTAGTGGAGTGGAGTGGAGTGGAGGCAACCAAACCGAGGCCCTTCTATCCATGCTTCTGGATCGTATTAGGTGGCAGGTTCGGCTATGGAGAAAAGGGGGTATCACCTCAGTAGACCTTTCGTGTGATTCGTCGGGAGAATCAAGGCCCCAACGACAATCGGAACTGCCGCTTTGCAGAATGGCTCGAGTGAAGTAGCGCTGCGACATCGGCGACAACCAGTGCAGAGAGACACTGACGGAGCCGGCCGATTCGCCGAACAGAGTCACCTGATCGGGATCACCGCCGAATCGGTCGATGTTGCGCTGCACCCATCGAAGTGCCATATTCTGATCCCAAAGCGCCTGATTGCCGACGGCATTGGTCGGCAACTCATTGCTCCTCGGTTTGAAGTAGAGAAATCCGAATGCGCCCATGCGATACTGCATGTTGACGACGACCACATCCTCATGGGCGGCCAGGAAAGCGCCGTTGTACACGTCGAGGCTCGCACTGCCCGAAGTGAAGCCGCCGCCGTAGATCCACACCATCACAGCTCTCGCCTTACGTCTTGACAACGGCGACGA